ACAAGTGTATTATCATTATTCAGGACAAACAGCTGAAGTGCTCTTTCGGCAATCAACTGCTTCTTAATAGACTAAACATCTGTTGAAGACGCCTGGTGTCCCAGATAGTTCACACAAGGACACAGGCCTTAAACACTACAGAGGACATGAGCTTCTGTTAAATGTATAACATTCACTAATTATTAAACGCATACTAATTAGTCATTTAGATGTATTCCCAACATTCCCACCTGTTTATACTATCAGTATAAATTCTAATAAAAATCAATCAATAAATCAATAAGTCAATAAATTCATAAATGTCCAATCAAACTACTTAATAAGTGAAAGCATAAAAACAAAAACATCAAAATCAATAAGAATTGAATATAATCAAGACCACATGTATTTTAATGTCATACTGATTTTACTAAGAGTAACATATTGAATAAAAAGCATGTGTACTGTCTTTATCAGCTACAGGCAGAGATGGGCAGTATTTCTATTACTTGTATTTGAAATACGTATTTCAATTACTTTTGAGTATTTTGTAATTTGTATTTGATAGGGCCGATAAAAAATCGAATGTATTTTGTAACAAAATACTTTAGAGTGGAGTAACTTTGTATTTAAAATACTCAAAATACTTTCTCCACAAATCAAAAAACAGTTCATGAGTTCAGTCTTCAGATCTTCAAGTTCAACGGATTGTCTGTCAAGGTAAATATTTTATCTGAGTGTGACAGATGTCAACTAGCTTGATGTATAATTGATGTCTGGGTCTGGCTACATAGCCTATTGTACATGGTGATGGTTATAATATCAAGCTAGCGATCGATGCTAACATGCTAATGACGCCAGCATGCTGTCTAGGCTAGTGCATAGCCAGTGTTTAGCAAGTTAACTTATCAGTGGAGTAGCTAGCTATCGGAAGAGGGAGATTGGGAGCTTGTATGTTCATGATAACTTTATCAAGAGACGTCTGACCATCTAATCTTGCACTGTATTACAAGTTATGCTGTATCTTCTCAATGTGAATGTCATAATGCCATATCAATCACTGGCAGATAATATAGTTCACAGTTAGCCAGGCTATGACAGTAGATGTCCATTTGTTTAAAAAAACAAAAAAACATTAAATATCCAATTAATTTGATTTAAAAGGCATATTATGAAAGTATTCTTAGTTTTATTATTTCATACATTCTACAAGTTTATGGGCTGTTAAGTCCCATTAATACAAATATATATATATATATATACATAATCAATCAAGTTGTTGTCTTTTAATAGCTTTGCTTAGTTACACTGACATTCTGTGACTGTTCTTCCTTTCTGTGGGCTTCACCAGAGCTTTGTGTACATTATAGAGCCCAAACCTGAATGCTCTGCTATACCAAATTGTGAGAAAACGGAAAATCCAGAAAAAAAGTATTTCCTATATTTTAAATACAAAATACATGTATTGTATTTTGTTACATTTTCTGGCACCAGTATTTTGTATTTTATTGTCATACATTTATTTGAGGGGTATATTGTATTTTGTATCAAAATACATTTTGATGTATTTTTGCCCATCTCTGGCTACAGGTAATACTGCAATCATCATCTCTCGATTTTCGACATACGAATCATCGTTACTTTACAGTTCAGTGTAATCGTCACTTCCCAGCTCCTCACCATCCTGCTGGGAAATCTGTAAGTACACTGGAGTTTGTCATATCAACATCAATTCATCGCTGCAGTAGTCTCCTCAAACATGGTATGAAAGTACAATAAAGATGAACCAAACATTTTTGTAGACCCCTCCCATCTCCGCCAGCAGCACGTCTTGACCCCTCTACCGTATTGTTGCCCACCAAAATAGCACTGTTTCAAACCCTGCAGCAATTTGATTTCCCCTAGGGACCCCAATGTCATCTATGTACACAGACTGACTGAAACTGCCAGATGGGCTGACCTTTATGGTCATGGTCTGTCTCTAGGATGTTACGCAGGGAGGCGTCATCCATAGGCAATGCATAGAATGGCCTCACCAACTGTGCCAAGGCACGAGTTCCGCTCCGCTGCTTAGCTTACCTCCACAGAACCACCAGGTGCCAGCCCTGGGCATCGTCCATATCCATCAGCTGTCTGTGTGATGTTCTACATAGTTTGCTGCATCGGGTGAGAAACAGGGTGTAATGTTCGTGTGGTTGTATTTTGTATTTATTAATTGTCAATTTTATCTGCCTAACTTCCCATCATAATATTGGACTAATTATTATTAAAGCCGAAGCAAAGCAAAACATAGTTCCCCTTATCCACATAGCCCTGGCTGTCTAAATTTATCAATTTCCGCGATGTTAGGTCTACCACTGAGCCCTTTTGTTTCTTACAGACACCACTAACCTATTTTCTCCCATATGTTCATCTTGTCTAACAAATGGTTTAGGCTCGGCAAGATATGTGTTCTTAATTTTGATTTAATTGGCCCATTTGTTCTTTCAGTCAACCCTGCTGACTGTGGGTGATAAGAGCAATGATATTTCATATTTATTCCAAATACCTCAGCCAAATGTTTTATTACATTTTACAAAATGTGTATCATTTATCACACTAAATTATTTCTGGTATTTAAAAATGTTCTTTATGTCTTTCGTCAAAGTTTTTGCTTCGTAATAGCATCTCGATCCATTTAGAATATCTGTCAATTATTGTCAAACAATATTTCTTCCCTTCATATTGGTTTAGTTCAATGAAATCCATGCAAATATGTTGAAATTGATTATATTTTGCACATATAGTGCATGCTAGACCAAAAAAAAAAATTTTTTTAATAGTTTTTGAAACCATATGCTGCAAAGACCCTCTTTATCATAGATACCTTCCCACCTGTTGAGACATGGTCCAACCCATGGCTCAAAAGAGCCGTATATCTATATAAGGTCTTAGGAAATATTAGTTTGCTCTCAGGTCATTTCCAGAAATTTTGTTTATTTTGCAGTTTTGTTTTATCCAGACAGTTCACACAAGGACACAGGCCTTAAACACTACACAGGACATGAGCTTCTGTTAAATGTATAACATTCCTTAATCATTTAAACGCATACTAATTAGTCATTTAGATTTCTTCCCAACAGTTAACCAGAAATTAAAGGTGCTATTGACAACATTGATAATGTTCAGCCACTAGATGTTGCACTCTACCTCCCCCGTTCCATTGCACTCACTTCACAACAAGAGGTGGCCAGTTCTGTTCGGGATGTATGTAGAAGTGTGCATCTTTACTTATGCTATAGCTATGTTGTGTATTTACTTGTGGGTTTGACAGGATTGGCGAAGATTCACAAAGTAAATGGAGACTCTGTGTGTTCCAGTACCCATACAACCATACTATTTAGTATGCCAGAAAAATATTTAGAATGTCCCAATACATATGCAAATACCAGGATGTTCTACTACTTCTGGTCACATTTTACAGTATGCAAGCAAGCAGATAACTGAGCAAGAGGGTCAAAGTTCACGGTGCCATGTTATGAGGACGTAGCGTGTCCCAATTGAATACATACTGCATGCAACGGTACATACTTTTTAAGGGCTTGTCATCTAAGTTGGGATTCTGAGATGAAGCGTCATGAAGCATTTCCAGCAAATTGGTTCGCAATCGGGTTCATTTCCTGAGGCTTCATATGCTCACAAAACCACCTGTTGGCCAAAGAGTGTAAAACAGGTAGATCTATTACAGATCTCCCCCCATGTAATTTGTGATAAAGGCCAATGTATTTTGCCCCAGGAGACCAATTGTCTTGTGAGTAAAACTTCCTGGATTAATCGGCACATGCTCCGAAACCACGGCACAGCACGTAGCATCATTTCATCTAATGCCTGATTTATACGCCTGCGGCCGTCCGCCTATGCGTTCTGTGTGGGCACCTCTCGACAGGCATACATACTGCATTGGATTGCGCGTGGTGTGATTTGCATGGGGTTTGTTCAAGACCAAATCTAAATTTTCCTTTGCAAGAAAGGTTGCCTCTCAGCATCTACTTAGAGCTGCATTTAGTACATTTTTGGCACCTACAAAATCGGTACCTTGGAAAAAGCATAAAATATGGACGTAGTCTCCGTAACATCGGCCATTGGTTTCTGAAGAGCAGTAGTGAAGCTCAAAGTGTGCGGCAACAGCCGTCTCAATCTTGGCAGTGACAACACAGCCTGTGGTCAAAGAGATGGATTGTTGGTGGACCTGAGGCGGTGACACAGCAGAGCAGAGTTATAGCCGGTAGCAACCTGAGACAGCACTCACCTGTTGCTTCAAGCGACCACGCCCTCAACTAAGCCTAACTTTGAGCCTTAATTTAAACGGGTGAGTTATATAAAAAAAATCCACTCCCCGTACAATTGGAAATTTGTTATGAGGGGGAAATTAGCTATAGAATAGAAATTGTTTTTGTTTATTTATGCTGAAAAGTTTGGCATTTTAACATGGGGCACTATGAAGATTGATTCGCTTTTGGAACCAACCTCAAGTGGCCATTTGAAGAACTGCAGTTTTTGTCACCTCTGCATTGGCTTCATTTCTCAGCACTGGAGGTTGCCACTTGGGTTACGCTTGATTTGCTTGACTGACCCTCAATATGTAGCAACGCAGGCCATTGATGAAAGCATCAGCTGACAGATCATTGAACATCTCATCGACCTTTCGTGTTAATTTCGAGGGTTCCTTTCATTCTCTCGTGATGTCACTCATTCTCTGTCCCTTCACAAGTGCCCTTACTCTTCAATCGACCACACACTGGTGAATGTAGGATGTTCCAGATCGACTTAATCCTGGGATCAAATTGAACTGGATTCCATTGATGGTTGAGCCTTTGCCCTGGTGTTTAACCCTTTCCTGGTAGCGTGCAATAATACATTTCAGCATGCATGCCTGCAGGGTGTGTTGTAGGCTGTACAGGTCACAAGGGGTTTAATAAACAGGTATAGAACAGCACGAGCCACGTGTCAGCCAATCACAATGCAGGTCCAGTGAACGTGTTGTGGTTTAAAACTGATAACGGCTGTGAGCTGAGCTCTGTACAGCTCAATGTCTCTGTAGAAATACCTTGGGACTGTATGAGCCTCTATCAGCCTGTTGTTTTCTTTTTTCTTTAAAATTAATCCATTCTTATAAAAGCAGTTTTTAAAGAAAGCTTTAAGATGTTCCTCTCCGCGCTGCTGATTCTTGCCAGTCGGGGTTTGTTCAGTTCTGTTTCGGGGTCTCCCGCTGTGGAGGAAGCGTACAGGGCTGTGCTCAGCGTCGTGTCTCCTGGACAGCAGTATCTGAACAGGGAGTCCCTCGGCTCTGTCTTTAATACACTGGAGAAACGTGTGCAGTGTGGTGAAGTGTCGTGTGAAAAGGTAAGATTTTATTAGGCTTAACTCGCAGCCAGGTTAGAGAGCCAGGTGGGTGACTACAGGTGCTGCGGAATGAGGTCGAGGTCCAAAAGCTATTAACTCTGACTGCTGACCCACGTTCACATGGTTAAAGTAGATTTCTTGATGGGAATCTTGAAACATATTTAGTTAGTAATTGACTTCTTTACTGGAAAGACTTATATTTTATACTTTTTTTAAAGTTGTAGGAGTATATCTGTTAACTCTTAATTCTTTTCTTTCCTCCTGTCAGAGTTTCTGGTACAAGATTGATCGTTATCAGCCTATATAGTACGTTGATTTTGTCACAACCTTTACTAGAGCAGATCTGTGATGAAGACAGGTGACAGGTTTCCGAGCACCAGATTCCCTTTAGAAAACCTCTCATTTTACTGGGTCTGACAGTCTGCGCCTTTCAGTCCTGGTTCTGGTTCTCCTGTGCCTCCCTTCCCTCCAGCAGGCCCAGTAATACATACAGCCTGGGCCTTCCGGCAGTGTGGTGTCGATGTTTGCTCCCAACGGGGACCGACGAAGCAGCTTCTGACTCATTGCTGTAGACCCCGCAGGAGTCTGAGCTGAAGGACTTTCTGTCGAACGTACATGATTTCATCTGATTTCACACAAATCTGACCAGGTGGCACCGATGACAAGCATTGAGAATAACTATATTAAAATAGCCAATCTGATGGTCTCATTTACAAATATAGGTCATATAGAGGCATCGGTATTACATTTAGACTGTTTCATAACCAATTAAAAGTTCCTCACAGTAACTTTACTTTTTAAGTAAATGAAGTAAGTAATACAATAGGCTGTGTTTGTCAAGTCAGTAGACATGTCTGTGTGAGGAGATTGTTTGTGTGTGTGTGTGTGTGTGTGTGTACGCGTGTGCGTGTTCTACCCGCCTTGTGGGGACGTGCATTTTGTCCTTATTGTATTTTATTAGCACTTATTAGCATTTGTTGTATCCGTATTAGTTTGTTGCACTGATTGTATTCGTATTAGTTTGTTTCTGCACTGTACTTTTGCTCTGGTTTTTGCTCTAGTTTATGCTCTTAGATGCTTGTGTTCTTTTGAATACCGATGTTGAATACACTTATTGTAAGTCGCTTTGGATAAAAGCGTCTGCTAAATGACTGTAATGTAATGTAATGTCCTCATGAGGACGGAGAGTCCCCACAATGTACATAAGGAATGACTGCTCAGCTGTGTTACATCTCAGCTCCACCCATCAATCAAGCAAAGCAGGAAACACAGCCAACAACAAGGACAAGATATGGCCAACCCCGAGGCCCTCCCAATTTGTATTGTCGCCTACCTCTTGTTATCTGAGGAAGTTCTTTCTAATAGAAGGCATTAAAAGCAACTGATATCCAAGGTTAATGCATTACAGGTTGCTATTAATGCAATGTGCATATTTCCTTTTCTAAATTAATCAAACCTTGTGTTTGAATCAAACAGTGATATGAATAAGTTGCGTAGCACTAGCAGAACGAAAGCAAGTAAATCTAAATCTAAACTTCTGTAGCAGCTGTTGTTTCTGTATGTGTTGTTAGGCTATTGTGCCCGAGAAAATCCCTGAATTAGTAACTATATTCTTCTACTAACATAGATCTGTATGTGTTTTTCTCTGGGCGCAGTGTGATCTAACGGATGCGTTTCACCAGCTGATCAGCGATCACTCCACCCACGAGGAGGATAAAACTGGAAGAGGCAGAAACAGTGTAACCATCAGTGTGTCTCAGTTCCCTGCTCTCGCTGCTGGATGCGTCCTGTACCTCTCATCTCCTGGCCTGGTCTGCAGCGCGGTGAGGCAGGGGACATGGGGACAGGAGGTCCAACATTTCCTACGTAAAACAACACATCAGGATCACCATGAGCATGAAGAGAGCGAGCAGCACCAGGACCATGAACACGTGCACATAGATGTTCATGAGTTGAACGTCCTGCTTCGAGAGCTTCACGACCACTACGAGCCCTCAGACAGAGAGGTAAACACAAGACTACAACATACTGTTAGTCGACCAAACTAGAAGTACTTATTTCTATGGTTGATCTATGGATCCTCACAAGATTATCAACAAGACAGCAAAGAGGAAAACAAAACATTACTGCTACACAAAAACTTCTCAAATTTACTCGAAGAACTTCCTTGAGTTAAATTATTTGCGAAGGAAACATTACTCTTTGGTTAAATTGCTTGTCTTAGATCTCTGATGAGGTGTCGCCTGAGGAGATAGTTCAGCTATAGAAGGTCACAAGCAAAACAAAGGTTGCTAACACGTGAATTTGATTATGTAACAATGCTTTATGCTATATAGAAAATTGCCGCTATAATTCATTATTTGGCAACCAGGCAGCCAGTTTACGACCCTCCTTGCTCTCTGACAGTATCCTTCCTGGGTGTGGGTTTATGCGTGTACAGGGTTACTGCGATCATGGCAGTATATATCCCATTACATATCTTATCATACTTCATTTATTAGGTAATAGTATACCTACAAGTCTTTACCCTGTACATCACTGTAGCAACCACCATCATCATGATGAAAAGAGCCCTCTTTAAATGTTTTGTTCTGCTGTATCTTGAGACACAAATTTAGTGTCAGAAGTTATTAAAAAACAGTTAAAGAAATGAAAATGAACTCTAGTAAACTATTTAAATGTGTTTGTTTGTCTTTTACGTAGTCAAAGTTATTATTTTGTAGCTGAAGACAAAACAATAAGGAGTCCTTAACAATAGTGCACACACTGGTTCGAATGATTATTTCATGAATCAGGGTTAACAAGAGAAAGCTTTCTGGAAGTGACATCATAACCATAACTGAATCACCTAACATTAAATATTATATAGTTTAAAGTTGTATTCAGTTATCTGGCAAACCTTTCAATCAGAAACCAAAACAGCTGGTCAAAACAAGATGCTACTTGCTAATCAAAATGTCACTCAGGAGGAGTGCTGATCAAGTTGACGGCTCGTGATTTCTTGACAACTCTATTGTAATTGAGTTGTGGCTGCAACGAAGGATTAATCTGCGAAAATCAAGCGTAAAATAGTAAAAAATGCCTGAGACAATTTGTGTAAAGTCAAAGGAAACGTCAGTGAATCGCTTGTTTTGTCCATCCAACAATCCAAAACTTAAGATATTCAATTTAGAATCAAATAAAGACAAAACTAGCAGAAAGTCTGGAATATGTTTTACTTTTTTCCTTGAAAAATCTCTTAAAGCTCTAATTGTGTCAGTGAGTAAAACTGTATTTTGGGTTATATCCTTTGCTCTTTGTGCTTCCTCTCCCTTATCACCATGGTAACCAGAGCTGTGTAACAGCCGGTGACATCACGACAGAGGTCAACGCATCCTCGCCAGACCAGAGACAGGAAGTGGGGGCAGTTTTGGGCCGCGTCCTGTATCACGCCTTGCAGGGTCACTGCTTCGTTAGCCGGGCCCTGCCTGAGGAGAGCTTCTTCCTGGACTACATCATGGACCATCTGGGGTCAACGAACGTCACTGTCGGGGGTGAATGTCCTTCAGAAACACAGAGAAACAGAGACACGGACACATGCATAGAAACCCCAGACCCTGTAAACTTAGGTTTAACCACTTAGACACTAAAGTCGCATGATTTATTGAACTTTCCTCAGTAGAAGTATTTCCCTGTGTACACACTGACTACATAAAGTCATATTCATATTCACATGGTCATATTATTAATCCAAACCAGCTGAATCCTGGAGTAGTTTTGCTCAAGTGTAGCTTGTATTTGTGTTGTGTAGATTTGGAGGCGCTCATGAGGAGTCTGCACCTCGGGCACCAGGAAGACGAACACGCTGATCACGATCACAGTGGTTTGAGACGGAGGAAGAGGAGGAGCCATGAACATCAAGAGAGGCATGAAGGAAACGCCACCTGGGATCGGGTACATATACCACACACATCATTTTCTGATTTTCTCTAATGGATTTCACTGCATAATAAATGTCCTTGTTTTCGTTCATCTTCACAGAGAAATGCAGGGTAAAGTCCATAGTGGTTGTGGTGAACTTAACAGACCTTTTTTCTTTTCTCCCAGTTCTGCGCCTCAGCTGAGGAGCTGGGCCTGATCTACGGTCTGGCGGACAACAGCTCGGTCTCCTCTGGCCTGAGTCGGACGGACTTGGCTCGGCTCAGCCCTGCACTCGTCCAGCAGATCCTGAGCGGAGCGTGTGCAGACATCACAGAACCGCTGACACCAGATGAGCTCACTAACACTGAGAGTAAGGCTGCATGTTCTGAAAGACCTTTTTGAAAGAAATTAAGAATAATAGTTACACTTGAAAGTACCCTCAGCATGCAATTTTGGAGAATATTTCTGATCCACAAGCGTCATGAGGTTTTGTTCACCTTTATCATGGCAGGATGGACAGATTGAATCAATAAAGGCTTCACATTTGTTTTGCCATTTTGTGCTTTATTTTGTTTCAAAATATATGTCAAAAGTCCATGTCTTCTTGACATAGCTGACTTTCACCCCCATCTTCTGTTCTGTCTTTCTCTTGTAGAATACGTCTATGCAACCATTGCCAATGTGGTGATAACACTGACGTCCATGTTTGGCATTGTAGTGCTGCTCTGTACCTCTTGCACCAGTGTGTTCCAGCTTTGTATCCAGTTTTGCATCAGCCTGGCTGTGGGCTCACTGACTGGAGATGCCTTACTGCACCTGATACCCATGGTGAGTGATTTCCACACTTTTAAAGCCCTGACAAGCTTTTTTATTTGTATACCCTTGGGAGCTGAAATTCATTGCAGCTATATAATATTCTTCATAAACACACCAGGACGTTTTGTCATGACATCAACAATAATGGTTATTTTTATACTCATTTTGACTTCTTCCTTGTCTGTGTGTCCAGTTATTAGGTTTACATGTGCACTCAGACAAAACCGACAGCTCCAATCACTCTCATGGCGCTCACCAGGAAGAAACTCCAGACTACATTTACAAGATGTTAGTACTGATTGGCGGTATCTACTACTTTTATCTGATGGAAACAATCTTCTCTCTGCTTGCATATAAAGATAATCATCACCATCATCAACATCATCATGCGGTAAGAGAAAAATAATACACAAAATTAGGCTAATAAGAATATAAATGAGGACATACCATTCTTGATTTTTTCTTTAAATCAAAAAGTTATGACTTTTCAAACATTGCTTTGGAAATTATGGGAACCTAATGGGATCCTTTCCTTCATTTGTGCAGCTAGATATTGCGAGGAAATGTCAAAAAGTTACTCCATTTTTTTGTCTCTCTCTCTCTCTCTTAAGGAGGAATCAGAGCCTCACCACTGTGACCATGGGAGGGTTTTAGAGATGTATGAACATGAGAGGAAACAAAAAGACAAGTCACAGTCAGCATCAAGTGCAGACCTGGTGAGAAACACACTTACATTAACACTTGACGGAACACTAATCATCTAATTCATCTGCACAGATAAGGGAGTCTACAAATAATCAAAATATTTTAAACCTGTTGACCAAAACTTGTTTAACTAAGTTAATCTCTGTAAACAAATACTGTTGAAATGTTGAAAATGCCCATAAGCTGCCTCAATGTGTCAATATCAGGACTTATTACTGAATGTTTAATGTAACATGTACATTTTAGGTTGTCGATCAAGACAATGAGAATTCTCTTTCAGAGCCAAAAGAGCTCACCAGAGGCAAGTGAAGTTATTTCCAATACAAAAACAAGCATCACCAAATTGTGATAGGCTTTATAGTGCTAATCATCGTGGCTACTCAACCTTGAACTATTACTTCGTCTGCCTCCACAGAACAGCGTCTGCTGCCTTATATGATAACTATCAGCGACAGCATCCACAACTTTGCGGACGGCTTAGCGATGGGCGCAGCTTTCTCCCTGTCGTGGAAGTCCGGTCTGGCCACGTCACTAGCTGTCCTCTGCCATGAACTGCCACATGAACTGGGTAAAGAAAACACACAAAGACAAGGCAGCGTCCCATTTGGTCATTAAAGATCTCTTAACATTCGACCTGTGTCTCTCCAGGTGATTTTGCCATTTTGCTCAACAGCGGTGTGTCCGTCCGTAAGGCGTTGCTTCTGAACGTTGGCAGCGCCATGACCTCGTTCATCGGCCTGTACATCGCTCTGTCTGTGGCCACTGACCTCGCCACCAAGCAGTGGATAGCTGCCATTTCTGCAGGACTCTTCCTGTACGTCGGGCTGGCTGACATGGTGAGTGTGTGTCATGACGGAACCATTTACCGTACAATACATACATCAAAATGGCATCAAAAGGAGTTCCCATCTCTCTTCGTTCTCCTTCCAGCTCCCCACCATGGTCCACATCAGCAACAAGAAACCCTGGCTGATGTTTCTGCTGCAGAACGTCGGCCTTCTGACCGGGTGGGGTATTCTGTTGCTGCTGTCACTTTATGAAGAGAGAATCAGCTTTTAAAACAGACAAACGTCGGTCTGTTGAATGTGTTAATCTTACTTCTGATAGAATCTATGAAGATTGTGAAATCTTTGAACAACATTCACAGTAACAAGACTGGCTGTTTATGGGCATTCCTCATAAATGACTACCGTGAGAGCCCTGGTCTTGTTGACATAAACAGCCTGTCAGACGGAGAACTAATCTAGTCAGATACATTTTAAACATTTCTGTGCCACCTAAATGCCTTAAACTCGAACATAAATATGTTTTTTTGACAGCTTGTGCAGAAAACTTGCACAGCTGCTTCCCAATAGCCTACACCAATGGTGATGGGCAAAATATCAGAGACAAACTTCCAATACAGGAACACCATCAAATGCAACCAGTAGAGCTGAAAATATACAGTAAAAGGTCGCAGGTATTCCAGACCCTCTGTGGTGGACTGCAGCAGATTTAGCTAGAAGTACTTATTAAACTAGAATCTCAGTGTACATATCAGAGGGTTTTTTAAATAAAACTTTTATCATTAATATTTTGGTTAAAAAAAAATATTGACAAATTTACCTTTTTACAAATGCTAAGATTGGTTATGTTCCTTGTAACCCGAGGCTGTTTTTCTGGCAGTAGAAGCAATTTCTTTCTTTGATTAGTTTGTTTCTGATTTTCAGCACTGATAAAATGTGAAAATGACACTACAATTCAGAATACACGTATTGTTTTCTCCTTGAGTATATACATTACATGTAATTCATCTTTGTACAGTTATATTTTGTGCTTTTTGATAAGAAACATACACAGATAAATGAATTAGAAGAAGAAGCTATACAGTTGTTTGAGTTTATGGTATTTGCCTGAACTACACATCCCACCACACAAATTATGAAGGTAAATGTGTAAAAATGTGTTATTTTCGTTGGTGTGGTGCAAAGTATATTTTATATTCTGCCTTGTTTGGCAAATTAAAACTCTTTCAAAACCCATTATGTACGAACTCATGTGTGATCAATTTGTGAATCCTTTTAGCAGCGGCTTTACCCTTTTGTTGGGATGTGATCACGGATCAGCTGAATGTAACCTACTTTCTTAATCTTTATGTGAATGAAGCGAGAAGCAGTGGAAGCGGTGGAAACTAGATCTCTTTATCTGTCTCGTCTAATCTCCTTAACTTGCAGGTTAGGTGACCGTCTCCGTTAGGGACAGAGTCCGCTGACAACTCATCACGCAAAGACGGAGACACAAAATGTAAATGATGTGGTGTTCGTGTAACCACCAGCATGACAGGTGGCCGAGAATTACCCATTTAATGACCACATTTAGGTTAAGCATGCGCCGTAAAAACACCAATTGGAGATTACAGCATGTAGCTGCTGACTGCAGGGAAATGGATTTCCCTGCAGTCAGCTCTCCAACACAAGCAATCCATAATTCTGAACTTCTACAGTATGTTTGCAAAGGTCCCAATAAAATACTTAATAATTACCTCTAAAACTGGACCTTTGAGCTTATCATAAATCATACTGCATAATATATCTTTTGGCTGAATGGGTAGTTTTACAACTTCATAAAGATGTTTATGCTGCAGTGACACAGAGAGCTGCATCAAAAAGTGAGTATTTCAGTGAATGGCTGTTGTTAAGCGGAGGTGATGGTAAGAAGACATCAGGGTCACAACGGTTACTGTAAGTGTTTGAATAGTCAGCTGAGTAACAGCATGTAGGGAAGGAGCAAGATAATAGCATATGACTGTGATTGTACTGGTCACATTCTAGGTTTAAGGTGAGCTCACTGTCAATGACGTGGTTGAGTTCAAGTCTTACATCACTGTATCCTGCCAACAAAACACATTTATATCTCAGCTTTTTTTAAAGCCATGCTGGTGTCATCACTCAGTCAGTCTGTCAGTCCAGCACTTTAGTCCAGACAGAAATATCTCAACTAGTGAACAGAGTGAGGTGAAATTTTATACAGACATTCATGATCCCCAGAGGAAGAACCAATCCAGTGCTTTGGTTTATGACCGAACACCTGCAAAACTAATGGCATTCTGCCGCAGTTCGTGTTTACTGCTAATGTGCAAATGTTAGCATGCTAACACGCTAAACTAAAGATGCGTTAGCTCAAAGTACGGCCTCCCAGAGGAGCTGGCCTCAGGAGGCTTGAAAGAGGAGATGCCACGGCGTCAGATCAACGGGGTACGACACATACGCAGTGAAATCTGGTCTGCACAAAAGGCTCGCAGTTACAGACCATGAGGATGATTGATTTGTTTTGAAAATGTTGAATTGTATATTGGCCGCCATCCATTCGAGCATACCCAAACACTTTGGTCAGGCTGAGGGCTCTCAACGAGCACCTGAGGGGACAACCATCCCTTTACTTCCTGCGAGACTCTTGTGTTTGGTTTTCCTGAATAGTTAACTCTGCTGCTTCCAAAGTGACAGTCTTGTTAAATTTAAAAACATTCCCGAGGAGGGGCTGTTGATGATGCATTGTTAAACATCATTGCCACTGACCTTTCCCAGAAAAGGCGGACTTCATGATGACCCAGTTTTTCCATTTCCTGTTTCTCCCAGTGATACAGTATATTATCCCCTTGAATACTTAATGCGTGGCGGGAAAATCACCATGAAAGTTTGTCTGAGTTGAGGTTTGTTTTCATCTCTACAGCTCAGTTTGCTGCCAGAGTTTGAAACTGTTGAAGAAAATCATCATATAACTCAGCATTGAACTGAACACATTTGGTCTCATAAGAAAACGGTTTATATAACTTGTTATGTTGAACACATTTGGTTTCATAAAAACATTCTTAGGAAGCGATTAAGGCGCGCCAGAGAGATTGTAATCTATCACTCCTATTTGTATCAAAACATTTCCCGTACACGAATCGTGTGTTCTGCCAAAAGGTTATCTTGACCCAAACGAAAACATGAGGGTATGACATAGTGAAGAAACCACATGTGCTTTGTTTGTAGTTCAGCTGACTGGTTTGATTGGTGGAAAGTCACTTTAGGGGGGTGAATTTGACTAGAAGAGTAATCTGTGAAAAGTAATACATTGGATTTTGTTGAATGTTGAACGTGTGCTCATTAAAACACTTCCCGCTGGGTTGCAACCCCAATTCAATGTCTCCTCTCGTCATTTTGCCAAAGACTCCTGATATGCATACATACATACATATGCTCATTAGTCAGATTTCTCCACTTTTTATGACATGCTGTCAGAGTCATAGCAGTGAAAGCCAGAGTCCACTGTTAAAACACAGAGCGCTCAGGCACTGCTGGTTAGCATAGCTCATTCTAAAGAGCATGTTTGAGCTTTTTAACCGGATTAATTCAACCGAAGTAAAAATACTTTGCTTTATTATTATTCTTTACAGTAACGAGACACAATTGAAACCTGTTTATAATTCACCTGTCCGCTGAAGTTGAGTAAATATTTAACAAAGATGAGAGAAACCGAGGAAAAAAACTCCACACACACACAACTTCATAAAGTAACGAATCATTACACAAAACATTTAACAAGAGCTGTATCCCAGTCAATATAAGTCAATATTTGCATTTTTAACATCCGGTTAAAGTTTCAACAGTGACATTGTGACAGTGGGATGGTACAATAAAAAGAGAAATTATATTTTTACTTCCTCGTTTTTGCTGGGTCAGGACTTTTATTTTCTCTGAGGTTTGAGTCCATGTACTAATAAAACAAGATAAGAGCTTTTCATCTATGCGACACAAATCAGTTCTATTCTGAGGAGATATTCCTGAAGTATTTAAATAAATGTCAATGAAAAACAAAGCTAGAAAAATAGAACAATTTATTTATTTAATTACAGTCTTCAAAGAAAAACAAAATTATCGTTTTTTTATGTATAAACACTTAACATTGTAGAAAACAGCACAGATTAAATAATTCAACATGATTGAATAAAATTGATATGAGACACAAAACAAGTGTTTAATCTATCAAATCCATCAAAACCAGACCGAAGAGTACGAGCGAGGGAGTCAGTGAATGGTGCAGACATGTGTATGTTGCACTTGGTCGTTCACTTGAAGCGAATGATCTCCTGCGTGGCCAGTCGGATCAGCTGGTTGAAGTCAAACTGGATGTACTTCCTCCAGTAGCGTCGGTCCCTGCCGTAGATCTGAGCAGGATAGCAAGGACTGCCTGAAACAGAGAAATGAAGCACAGATGTGGATTCACAGCCGACAACTTGATGCACTTCATGTCGGTTTACTGACAATCGAATATATTAAATATATATTGTAGATATATTTTGTTCACTGTCGAGCTCACAATTTATTCATTGATCCTCTAACACCCTCTACAGGTCAAGAGTCCTTTTTTCCTGAATAGCTTTGGCTTGAGGCGCAGAATTGTTATGGAACAAATCTCTGTGGTTTATACGCTCTTTGAACAAATCAAAAACGATGCACTGAGCAGTGTTAAACCTGTGATCAACCGGACGTACATACTGCAAGCTTCGTGTGCTCTCTCACCTATGCCGTGCAAGATTCTAGCAACAGCTCTTCCGGAAAACTTCTCATCACTTCGGTTGGAGAGAAAATTTCTGATGTCCGCTCTGATCTGATTCTCCCAGTCTAACAACTAAAAACAACGCAAAACACACACACACACACACACAAGTAAACCCCGACATCCAGAACATTCAAGACAGAAATTCAGCTGTTAACTCCCGATAACCGCTCTGTGTGTGTTTGACCTTGTATTTGTCGAGCTCCTCGATGTCCACTGGCGCGAGGCCTCGGTCCCGCCTCTTGTCGAAGTACTCGGAGAGGAGGTCTTTCAGATGGAGACTGCGACTCTCATCCAGATCTTCGAGACAGGACGCTACGCTCTGGAAGGCAACACTGCAACACAACGCGAGCACAAAGTTACACACGGACGCAAGGTAATGTAGACAAGCATGCTGACCAATAAGGAGGATAACAATTGATCTTTTTAGGAGTCTGAAAAAGCCTTTCAAAGAGAAAAAAAAATAGTGTTTAATGATACATTTAAGTGAAGGCGTGGACCTTTTGAAGGCCTTGAAGCAGGCGGTCAGCTGGTAGAGCTGCGTTCTCTCTTGGTTCTGCACTCGATTATGGAGGAAGTGACAAACTCTGTCCATCTCCTCGTCGCTGAGGTCGCCGAAGGAACGGAAGTAGAAAGATAAGGAGGACAACTCAACGTGGACGCCGCTACGTCCGCCAACTGAAACACAAACATTTGTGATTCACTGGTGAGTGTCTCTATTCGTCAGTTTGTATAATAAGAGAACACACAGGAAAGGAGGTTAGAGGCAGACCGTTTGAGTAAGACCAGTTCAACTACACCAGTACGATTAACTACAGTGGGACAATTCAAACTATGATGATGTTTTCCCGGCTGTGCTTTTGTGTCTGTGAGGATATTTCCTCGAGGTTTTTGTTACATTGAACACAAAGATTTATTGCTGACGGATTCAAAGAGAGTAAAAGAGTTACCACTGCTCCACTGCAGCTGTCGGACTCCTCTCTTCACCAGAGGAAGCTGCCATCCCATAGTGTCCGCAACCTCGACAACATCGAACTCCAGCTGATCGAAGGTCTCCACCCGCTCGCCCACCATCCGCCTTCTGGCCAACACCACAGCAATCGGAGGGCAGCTGTGGAACAGATTGAACAGTGTTTTGTCATTTGAAATATCTGATGACATCTACGTATAACTATGTATTTGTTTACAAACAAACGCATAATTATGCTCAGATGCTGCAGACTATGCATCATTTTCAGTGCCCCATATCGGAGCATATTTCATACATTTTGGTGATTTTCTGGAGCTGTCTTGGTCCGCCATAGCAGCTGACTTTGCACACAGAAAGCGTCGGGTGGAGAAGCTCGACAAAGCGCTGGGGATGCAGCTCCAGATAGCAGAGCAGCGTTTCTACACCTAAAATACACAAACACGTAAAGGAAGAAAGAAAGAGGAATTTTCTACAGTTAGGTCTTGTTCTACTCATCAACAACTATTTTAGTTTTGAGCTATTCATTCATGTTCATGCTCTCGTTTCCACTTACCTTCCTCTGTGATGTCCAGAGCCTCCACAGTTTCTTGGATGGGAATCGCTCGCTCATGCGTGTGACACACTCGCTCTCTGGGCCAATCGCTGCTTTCCTCTTCCTGGTCCCTTAGCCAATCAACAGCTCCTTTTGCCTCCACGTCGCTGTGCTTCATCGAACCGTCAGCTTCATGTTCAGCTGTCTGCTCTTCATTCTGCTCCTCCTTTTCCTCTCCTTCATCTCTACCGTCTTGGAGGGGCCGTCCCGCCGCATCGGTATGTGACAGCTCCATGCGGTGAAAACAAGGATACATCGTTCATCACTTTGTCCAAGATTCTGGTTTCTTTTTACATATAACTACAAAAAAAACTTCTATTTACTCTTATTGGGTGAAAGAGTGAATAAAAAGACATAAAAGAGCCTTTTCTTTTTGAGTTACCTGTGCAGTAGACAGTATTGGTGTGTCTGTCTGTTCTACGTGCTGCTGAGTGTGAGGGTTCAGGCTGCTCTCCTGATCACACGCATCCATTGTTTCCATCATCTCCATCAGCTCGGAATCTTCAATGTCCTTTACACACAGACAGTTTAGTGTTGTTGTTGTACTACCATGGTCTCTCAGCTTACTGAACAGTATTTAAACCACACACACACACACACACACACACACACACACACACACGTGGAGTTACCTGTTCCAGTTGCCGTTGTTTCTGGTGTATCTGTTTACATTTGCATGGAGGGAAAACTTTCTGGACCAGTTTCTTGACTGTGTAGTAGTCCACTGTGTCCGCATAGATGTGACGGCGGAGCTCATGGAGGTCCCCACCCTACAGACACACACATCATTATTTATACCCAAAATATTCTGTGTACTGTAGGTGACAGCACTAAAGAAGAGAGCCACACCGGAAGAGTGTTGAATTGTATATAAATACATTTGTACCATGTTTTACTGTTATATACTGTTTTACTGACAGATAACCACAGTCTCACCTCAGGGTCCAGGAAGAGGTGACAGTGCGCTGGATCTCCGTCTCTTCCTGCCCTCCCAATCTCCTGAACGTAGCTCTCAAAGCTCTGAAAAACAGAAAAACAGTTACCACCAGTAAGGGAATACTGATATAGACAAAGACTTGTGGGCCCTAGTTTTAGCACAGTTAAGGTTTTAGATGTGAAATCTGGGTTTAAGATCGAATGGAATCGATCGGACAAAGTACCCTTTGTATCTATTTACATTTTGAACGGGTAGAAAACAGGTGTGTTTAATTTTCACCATAAAAATGGAAATTTGAACATCTACCAGAGCATGACAAACTCCATCTGCTGATAAAGATTATATGACATGAACGAAAGCTCCTGAACAACTGCCAAATGGACCTTGTGATAAAATGAATTTCTACGTTTTCTCTTGTTCACAAAAATGTTTTCAAACCGAACACTGTTGTAGATTACACGTAAAAGTTGAATGTAAAATGTTCCAAAGTGTGTTTTTGCTTTACATAAATCAAACCTCTACCCACCTTCGGCATGTTATAGTGGATGATACCGCGGACGTCGGATTTATCGAGGCCCATGCCAAACGCCACAGTGGCGACCACTAGTCGGAGCTCCCCGCACATGAAGTTGTTCTGGACGCGACGGCGCTCTGACGCCGACAGGCCGGCGTGGTACGACTCCGCCTGCCATTTCAGCGGTTTACGGATCTTCTTCCTTGCTAAATGTAGAAACACACAGCAGTAAGAAAACAGTGGACAAAGTAGAAAATATCAGATGGAGTAAATGCTGTTTGACAGATTCAGACAGCTTTCCGATCAAAGACACGAGTTATTCCTCCTTTACCCAGCTCTTTCTTTCTCTGTCCTACGGGGTTGTGTTGCGTCTGACTGCTGCTGTTGGTCTGTTTGTTTTCCCTCACGAGCACTCCGTTCAGGCAGGTCCTGAGCAGCGCCGACACGCGGGTCGTCTCCTCTCTTCTGGTGCAGTAGACGATGATGGAGTCCAGGCAACCAAAACGATCGCCCTTCAACAGGGACACCAAAGCCTACAAAGACAAATACAGGAGACGGAGAGAAACATTGAGGAAGCTACGATTGTTTCTAGGTAGACACATGGGGGGGCTGTGGATATGGACAACTACACTTTTACAGAGGTCTAAGAATATTTCGACACACTATAATTTCATTTGTGTGAGACACATGCTACTCATCAACCTGATCTTTGTCTCTGTCCATGGACACAGACAGTTGCAGGTTCGGAGGCACTGCTGCAGATCGGACCGCAATGCCGTCTCGATCGGTGATGTCCAGATGCCGTGCGATGTCCAGAGCAGTGGACAGCGTGGCCGTGGCTGTGAGTCCCAGCAAGCACTGCACTCCCAACCGCTCCCTTAGCACCTACAAACACACATACATCATGTCGTTTTTTAGTGACAGTTGCGGCAATCGCTCGCACATACAAGGATGTTTATGTGTGTCTTGATGCTGATAAACTAACACTGGTGCTCAAGATTTTAGTCTCATCGGGTATGGAAGCAGATTGACAAAAATATGCAGGCACTGCAGAGTATCCTGATTTATGAAAACATATTCTTCTTAATATCTAGTGTTGGTTTCAGACTTTTGAATCTGATTTTAGAGAGAACTAGTGTCGGTGTGTGGAAAGTCGTGCTTAACTTGGGTTGTTCACATCTCTTCCTAAAATTCTCTTCTAATGTTCAGACGTTGTTTTCCCTCAAATGAAATCAAACAGTCTAAACTCACCTTACAGAGTCTCAGGTAGCAGGGCCTGAAGTTGTGAGACCACTCTGAGACACAATGAGCTTCGTCTATACAGGCGAAGGCCACAGGGGGGAGCTCCTGAGCCGAGGGCAGACACCCAGAACCCGAACGGCCTCCACCAACCAGAGCCTCTGGAGAGAGGAGCAACACACACACCTGGCCTGACTTCACCTGGAGAAACAAAGGAAGGACACATTTTAGGCCGAAAATACTAACACGTAATAATAACACGTGATGGTTTGAGATTTCTCTCTTGAAAGAGTTTTGAAACTTGTTAGATGTAAACATGGCTTTTGATTCTAGATCATTTTTTTGAGACACGCAGGAAGATGTTGGAGTTTAAAACCTACAAATGTACCGTTTCCTCCGACTCTGAAGTCTTGCTGCTCTTGTGTCTGTTACCTTTTCTATCGCAGCTTCTCTCTGTTTCATCGTCATGTTGGAGTGGATACAGGCTGCCTTCAGATTGGCTGGCAGGCCAGACAGCTACACACACACGCACACACACACACACACACACACACACACACACACACACACAGTCACAACAGAATTAGTTAACTGCATTGCTGTTCAAATGATTCACTTCATGTGAAGTCTGTTTGTGTGTGTGAGAGAAGGCGACTACCTGGTCGTCCATTAGTGAGACTAGAGGTGAAATGACCAGAGCGATGCTTTTTGATCTCTTAGCGTACAGGTAGGCTGGGAGCTGATAGCACAACGATTTACCCATCCCTGTTGACAGCACTACGAGGGTAGACAGACCTGGAGGAACAAGTGAGCGAGGCAGACATGAACACAAGAGATCATAGATGTACACATGTGTGTTTGTATCTGTGAGTACTGTGCATACCTGACAGGATCCTCATGATGGCTTCCTCTTGTCCTGGTCTAAAGGACTGATAGCCGAGGTCTTTCAGAGCTGCGAAAACCTCAGCAGGTGTTTCTAAACACACACACGTTCCCACAAAGAAAACGTTAACTTTTGAGCAAATGTACAGTTTGTCTAACTTTCTTTATTTTTATTATTATAAGCAACACAATGAGTGTTTACCCTGGACTTTCCCATCATCTCCGACATCATAAAGTGGTTCCACTGGTGGTGGAGGAGCGGGGCGCTCGTAGTCAGGACGAATAACGTTCAGCAACACCTCGTCTTTATGGTCACCGTCCGCCTCCTTCTGTTGGTGCGGCTGCTCCTCTGTGATGCTGGGAGACGACACTGGAACACACACACGACAAACATACTCAGAAACAGCTGTGTGAAGTAATAATTGACTATTTTGTTCCCTCAAAATTGTGAGCTGGTTTGCAAAGTTCTATTGATTACTGTAGCTAACGTGCAAGATGTAATAAAAGAAACGGAGAAATAAATTGTATTTACATGAAAATAAAGTGATAAAAGATGTTTTTCATGCAAAATTTTGATGTAAACCTACAAAATTGTCATTTAATATAATTTATCTGACAAACAAGATAAACCTGAAAACCTCCATTACTACATTTTTCATTATTTAGAACTAGACAGTCACATGAAAACAGTTGAGTTGAGGTGGAAAGCGGCGCGCTCGGTAACAGTGAGTTCAACAGGTGTACCCAGTGGCTGAGGTTGCAGTGTGCCTGTTGCCCTCGCAACCTCTTCCAGGGTGGGCAGTTCAAACGGCTCCTCCTCAGCGGGCTGGTCCTCGGGAACAGGAGGGGGAGGAGCTACAAAACAAGATCTGTTCATCAACACCAACAATCCAATGGTGATATTTACAGTCTGTCGTGAAACAGCTGAATCTACCATCACCGGCATGATGCGTTCAGCTCGGTCTGATAATGTTATCAGTCTGGTTTAGTTGATAATTGTCAGACACCATAAAGAACAATATTAATCGAGGAGATGAATTAGCGTCCACAGTCCACTTGTATTAGTTGTCTTTGTATTACCTGGTCCCTTGCAATCCATGGCCCAGTGTCCGGTCCCTCCACACTTGTAGCAGGTGTCCCCCTGTCGAGTGAGCCCCCCTCTGAATCCACCGCGCCTTCCTCTGCCAGAAAATCCTCCACCTCCACCGAAGCGTTCGCCTTTCAGCTGGAACTTCTGCATGTACATCTGAAAAACACACAGGCGTTCAGTTTTACCTTTAATGTTTTGATTTATGACATTTTCTAAACATTAGGGATTCATCCGAGACACAAAAAAACGAACCTGTTTCCGTAGACCTGCACCTCTGACGGCGTACCCTTTGACGTGAGATTTCTTCTTCAGATTGATCTTCACAAAGTTGCCCTCCAAGCCTTTCTTGCCGCTGTACAAATGAAGAATCGTTTGTACACGGAACACAAACGGAGATGTTTTGCAGCAGGACGTGGTTTTTGTCCTCACCTGGCTCTGACCGGCTGAGTGTGATACGATCTCCTGGCTCCAAATTCCTCCTCTATTTCTCCTAACAAGTTCTCCTGAGGAACCTTGAGAGGAATGATACCGTCTTTAACTCATTTGCACAGCATTCACATGTGGAGATGAATTTTAAACTAACTAACTTACCTTTTTTGGTTCCGTGATTTCTTTCTCTTCCTCTGCCTCTCCATCTTCGTCTCCCTTTTTCTTGGCTCTCCTCTTCTTCCCTCCTCCTTGAGCTGGGCTCGGGTTTACATCAGAGCTCTCCTCTTTCTTTTTGCCATTCCTACGCCTCTTCTTCACTCCTCTCTCCTCTGTCGTGTCTCCCTCCGCGTCTCCCTGTCTCTGCCTTTTCCTCCTTCTCTGTCTTGTATCTTTGGATCTGTGACTAGCTTTAATGTCGTCTTCTGGCATTAAAGGTGGCGTCGATCCTCTTTCCATCTCCTCACCTCCTTTCCTTTTCGTTTTCTGTTCCCCTCCTCCTCTGTTTTTTCCAGTGTGTTCTAGAGAAGATGTGAGTGCACTATCACTGACTGTTTTGTCACTTGTGGTGCTCTTAAACCCTTTGTCTCTTCCCAAGTCTATTGCCTCTGTTCTTTCTCCCTCTGCATCCATTTCTTCTTGCCCCTCTCTTTCATTCATTTGGATTTTCCCTTCAGTTTCTCTCCCCCTTTCTCCCTCTCCTTCTTTCTCTAGCTCCATCTCCTGGTTGCCTGCTCCCGGCTTCACCTCAGCCCCCATCTCTCCAAACACCTGACACCTCTCGAGCCACTTCCTGTCAACAAAACCCAGTCTGCTGGCAGGAGGGGTCTTTCCTCCAATGCCCCTGCCTCCAATTCCTCCTCTGAAACCTCCAACAACCTGAGGGCTTCCTCTCAAGCTAATCAAAGTTCCAACGCCTGCCTCACCAACACCCTTATGTGGCGTTCCTAAAGTTTCAACAGTTTCTTTTTTGTCTCCTGAAGTTCCTGTCGTTTCATTGGCCCCTCTTGAACTTCCTGCACTACGTGGAGAAGATAACGACAACAACAAGGCAGAAGGTCGGGCTGGAGAGGGAGCTGGGCGAGAGACATTTTGATTTTGTGAACTGATAACTTTACTAGTACTACTCTTAATACTAATATTACTAGTACTACTACTACTACTACAACTACTGGCAGCACCGGCAGGTTCTTCACAAGAATCTCTGACAGGCTCAAATGGTTCACATGGCTCCACTTTCTGGGGTGTCTTTGAAACCAGGGACCCCAGGCCAGTGTTAAATCTTCTGTAAAGAAAGACACAATTACACAAGTATTCTATTCAAAGAAAGGTTTTAAATGGTTATCAGGTTTGGAAACTTGAAATGGCAGCTGCACAACTATTGGTAGTGTTAATAAAGAGCATGAAATGCAATTAAATACGGGGTACATAGTTCATTAAGAACATTACAAGACATATTTAATACAATATTTGGTACTTCATTTTCAGAATTGCAAAAGGTTGCAATAGTATCATCAAAGTGGCGTCTGTTTAAGAAATGACAACAGCACTATGAACCAAATCACAACAGAGACAAAGTATCTCAGTTTAAGCACGTGGTTAAGAAATCAGTGTCTGTGTTGAAAATAATACAACTCGAGCTGAAACAACTATTCAATCAATTGATCGAAAAACAATCAACTATCTTAATAATTGATTAAACCTTTCCGCCATTAATGAAGAAAAAAAGCCAAGAATTCTCCAATATGAAGATTTTTAGCTTTTCTCTCTTTTGTATTGATTTAAACTGAATATATTTTGGTTTTGGACTGTTGGTCCTACAAAACAAGATATTTGTAGATGTCATCTTGGACTCTGGAATATATTTAATATACCAAACAATATCGATATATTAATAAAATGCTGTTACATATCGATCAGCAAATAATGCACGGATGATATGCAGCTAACATCACAATACCTTCTTGCATTTCATTACCTTGGTGTGAAAGGGCTGGATTTGGGGGCACAGGAAGTGATCTTGACAGCGGCAGCAGCAGCAACAACAACAGGGCTGTTTGACTGTCCAATTTGTCCGTCTTTCAAGGAGTTAAGAGGCACCCGACCGGGAACGACAGATTTCTTCAGTGAGACAGGTCTCTCCTGGAATATCAAAATAAAATAAGGAAATCATTTTTACAGGTCTCAGATGAGTTTTTAAGTGTACAGTTCTCTCTCTTATCACGATGGGGTATGGTCCGTGTTCTTTCAAAGTGTGTCTCACCTTACTGAGTGTCGCCAGGTTGTTTTTAAGCTTCATGCCATAGTACTGGGCAGAAGCCTTCAGACTGTCTCTATCTTCGGGTGTCAGTCTGGGAGACGATGTAGGCTGTGAACTGCGGTTCAGATGGGCACCCCAACAGTCCGCCTCCTACGTAGATCAACAACCAGCAGATTGTCACAGACGTACGAAACAAATTGTCTTACTTGTATACGTTTGTTTTAAAAAAAACAAAAAAACACCCACAGTCCCAAACTACCTTCTGGACTGTGTTGATCCCAGCTGTAGCTGTGGCCTGTTCAGCATGCCCGCTGGCTGCATCACTGCTGCTGTTTTCTTTGGCTTGTTTCAAACTGCGGTATTCTTTATACAGCTCTGGGATTGAGACACACCATGTGTTATGCTTATGTCTTCGAAACACATTGTCTATGCTGGAGATGGACAAAAGATACTTTTGTTTATTGGTGTTGCAAGTTATGGATCCTACTCACGTCTGGTCTCCTCTGGAGCTTGGTCAATGTCCTCCTGGAAATGAAAGAGCATCTTAACAAACTAACTAACACAGCAACACTGTCTGTAGCACGTGCCATGTCCTGTGGACCAACAGATCAATAACGAAACGTAAACAACAATAAAAACAAAACATATCATATCATATCATATAATTACATTCTATATATATATATATATGGGGTTGACATTATGTTACTGCCTGCTGACTCTCGGCTCACGTTTATGGTTTACATCACCTTGTTTGGTTTCCTCTGGTGGTCTTTAACAAAGCCCTGCTCAAAGCTTTTCAGCTGAAGCTTCACCTCGTTGTATCGATCCATGGTCACGTTAACAGGGTCAATAACTGTCCGATTTAAATAGCTTTAATGTTAACTAAAATGATTAACTTACATAATTAGAGGATAGCATCTGTCAGGCGAAAGCTAACGTTACAGCAACACGATAGCTCGCTAACGTTATAAACGCAACATTATTTCTAAGCGTTTTTCTGAATTTAGCAGCGAAAGCTTTTTTTAAAGTAACGGTGAGTTACTTTAGCTTCTTCTTCTCTTGTATAGTTATAGCGACTCAAACGAGGAAAACAAATAAATGTAGAGTTAGTGTGTAACTATCATATTAGAAGACTGCATTAAAGGGCTTTCTTCTGCCGTGTGTCTTGTTTACGATTTTTCCCGCGCCGGAAAAATGACAGTTTGTGTTGCCAGGTTCCTTCTTGTATCCCCCATTCTGACAACACATAGGTTTCTATTTCTATACGGACTTAATCAAGGTGAAATACTTTATAAGCGATGAGAACACAACGACAATATCGATTTTTGTAAACAATAGTCTGTGTAATAGTTATGAATCTCTTGAATTTCTAATACATCCGTTTAGGTTTGGTTTATTCAGAGGGATCGGGATTGAGCCTGTCAGGGACCACTTCCTGCCGGATCCACTAGACTCCGCCTTCTTCTTAAAGGGACAGGGACTCATGATCACCGAGGTAATATTGTACTTTTTACTTCACTACATTTATTTGATAACTTTAATTTCCTTGCAGATTTAGATAAATAAAAAAATTATAAAGAAATAATTGATATTAAAGGTTTAGACAAAACTTCAACTTTAGCCATTGTCTATTTAAAATACATTGTTCTAAAAATCTTTAAAAAAATGTAGTTTATTGACATACTGTAGTCTCGGCACTTTTGAGGGTTTGATCTTAAAATTCAAAGACACCGTGCAATGAATATACATTAAAGTTTAAGTTTAATGTCACTGACATTTCCCTGCTGCTGCTATGTCAATGTGACAAAATATGACAAATGTAATCAATCACTATATGTAGTTTTTACACCATACAGTTATTATTACATTGTGTTTGTACAGTGTGAAACAAAGTGTTGCTCCGCATGAATTGGGAATAAGGGCATAACTGATCACCACACTCCTTTGAGATGTCAAGATCCTTCAAGGTAGTCTCTGACTATCCAGCACTCTTGGACAACCTTATTCATGTGCATTAACTTAATTATCCAAAATGCGTATCCTGTTTTGTTCAGTTTTCATAAATTCATTCTCAACTACTGTTGGCCTGTCCAGAAACATCTGTAATCACAGGTCTTTTTGTCAACCTATTATCAGTGAGGCCTTGAACACATTTAATACTTGCTTAATCGCTACTTCACTAGATACAAAACGCAGACTAACGGAAAATGAATAATTTTCTAAACCCAATGACATTATGGGTTATTGCAAGCAGGTATGTGATGCAGTGCATAACGGCAACAGTGACACTAAAATCAATGCATGAATGAAAAAGGACAACAAATAGTAGCAAAGAAAAACTTTTATTGTCAGGGGGGAGTGGGTACAAAACTGCTGCAATGTAAATCAGAACCATGATAGTGAGGATGGACATATTTTACATTTGTCATAATGAGACATCACTTCATTCCAGCAGGGAGACCTCGTGGAAGTATGCGCCGAGCATCTTGGTCCCCTGAATGTAGTTGGTTCTGAAAGTGGAAAGATAAAAACAGTGATGAGCTTAATTGACCGGTGAATACTTGTCTTTGTTACAAACCTGTAACAAAAAGGGCCATCGTAAAGATCATTCATGAAGAATTCAAGTTGTTGCGTCTCACTGCAATTATAACTTTTGGGTGGAAGAACTTAATTCGGTACTTGATCACTAAATTCAACATAACAACAACGTACCTGTTGAGCTTCTCGTTCTGAGAGTGAGCTCCATCATCAGAGGATCCAAGAGGCAGCAGCATGACGTTACGTCCTGTGGCCTCCTGGAAGGTCAAGGTGACGGGGATGCTTCCACCCTCACGAGTCAGGTCAGGCTCCACTCCAAAGACTTTGGCACAGCAAGGAGGAGAACATGGAGAGAATAGTGAAGAGGACTGGAAAACAAAATCTCTACAACGTTTTTATCTTTAACCATTAATAATAGGGATCAGAGATCAGATGACATTATATGAAAATCATCATATGAAACCGAAACTATCAACATAATTAGATAACAGTGGGTCTAAGTAAGAGTATGTGTTTTGAGTGAACTGATCCTTTCACTATATACATCTCTCTGTACCTGTTTTCATGGCCTTTCGACCTGCCATGTAGTGTGGGTGGTTGAAGTCAGAGACCCAGGCCTTGGCTCCGTGGCCCATGTACACTTTCAGCTTGTTGGGGCTCCCCAGTTCAGCAAACTTCTTCTGCAGATGATCGACAACCTTGATGGAGAATAAGAAAAAAACTTGAATGACAGTCTAGGTCCAGACTCGAGTCACTCAAAACAAAACGCCTTTCTTTTTCATGTTGACTCAGCATCAGTTTTAAAACTCTCATTTGAATATTACCTTTATAAACTTGAATATATATTGTGTTTTTATCTCCTGTTGGATGACATAATGGGCACAGTTTGAAATGTTTCTATAATGTTCCTGAATGTACATTTGGGTGTGTTTGTTTGTTTGTTTGTTTGTATCACTGGTTTCTGTTTGTATTACTCTGTAGGTGTCATTTTATGTAATGTGATAAATCATTTTGGTTTTGTATTTAAATAATTATAAAAACATTAATTTCTCTCCATCTTTAATGAACTTCCTGACTTTTCATTCATTACTTGTCTCGACTTGGCAAACGTACCACTTACCAAACTTGCTTTTTGACAAGGGTTTTACAAACAATTGTTTAGTATTTTAAACTTTATTCTTCAACAGAACTACTGTTAATCACTGATTTATTGTCAAGAATAAATCCACTTTGGTAGGTCAGGCTTAGACTCATCTGTAAATCTGCTGTACTTGTAAAATTTCACTCGTAAAAGCCATATTCACTAAAAACAAAATGTGACAGAGTCATCTTTGTGACACACTACCACTGAGGGACTCGAGTCATCAAGTTTTAAATTCCACTGGCAGTGACTATCTTTTTTTTCCCCCACACACCACAACCTTTATTGTGTTCTGGTCACATGACCACTACCATTTGCCAGCAGTAGAGTGGTTGTTACGATATTTCCGGGTCTACCTGCTTCTCCACCACTTCGGGGTCCATGTCGGGGACGAGGCGGATGGAGAACTTGCCGATGACCTTGCGGGGGATAACAGTCTTGGCTCCTGTTTCAGAGAAAGCTCCCTCAATACCGTGAAGAGACAGAGATGGATACCTCCAGCGGTGCATCAGGATGTTCTCCTACAGGACAAAAGAAGAAGAGTTCACTTAAAAGGTCATGACTTACCATGCAGTAATGTAATGTCTGTTTGAGTGGCGACAGAAATCAATGCCTTGCCTTGGTGTCATGCAGCAGCTGTTCCACTCCGACGTCTTTGGAGTATTCATCCAAGTCAAAATCTATCTTCTCATACAGCTTTTTCTCGACATCCGTCACAGGGGCCACGTCATCGCTTATCCCCGGAATCAAAATCTTCCCCTTCCTGTCTAAGAGGGTGCCTGTTTAGAGAGACGCAAGCAAAAGATTTAAACACCGCTGAAAACGTCAAAGACTGAAAACTAGTTTTGCGAGATTGTGGCTCATATGTCAGCATCACTTGCCCATGAGTGCAATCAGGTCGGTCATGGCTTCATGAACAGAGCCACCAAACACCCCTGAGTGCAGGTCCTTGTCGCCGCATTGCACCTTTAAATTAAAAAAAAAAAAACATTTTAATGTGCTTCTTCAGAATACAATATCACAAAAAAACACATGACATTTGTGTTAATGCTGGAAGAGCTGCATTACTATAGAACTAGGTTTGGTTATTGCTGCAGCTTAAGTGATTACGCTAAGAATTCAAAACAGCACTACAATCAGACTGCACCTCAACGAAGAAGTAGCAGATTCCTCTCAGGCCGTAGGTGATGCAGGGTTTGGTCTTGCCGAGCCAATAGTTGTCGGAGATGCAGACGTAGTCCACGTCTTTTAAGAAGGTGTCTTTTTGTGCAAACACCAGTTCATCCAGGCCCTCAGATCCAGACTCCTCCATCCCCTCGAAGCAGAATTTGATGTTGATGGGAAGCTCCTGCAGGAAGTGAGATAAGGGAGAAAGAACAGTTTAAAACAGAGTTGAAAGAGAGCACAAAACCAGCCGACCCTTTCATTGAGAAAATAACTTTGATATTGATCATAGAGTAGATCCTGGGATTGTTGACTGAAGCTCCTTACAGCATGTCGCAGTGATACTTTCCTCAGACAAGCTGTTCCACTGTTTCAGAGAGACGTGAAAGTTTTTCAAAACGACGCAACACAGTGACGTGACTTGGTTTAATCATTAAGTGATGGCTGGATAAGACGCGACTACCGATTTCATCCAGAGACCTTTGACCGCCTCTCCTGCTGACGGCTCTCAGATGATCAACGGGCAATTACAGAATCAGCTCTGCACTGAAATACAGAGAGAATGAATTTCTAGCTTTGATGCAGAATCATTTTGGAAAGCAATACTGTACAGTAATTCAACAAGATTCTGGATTATTATTTATTATGTTCCCACAGAAAAACAAATATACGACTTTGAGCAGAACGTAGCTCGGTAGCAGTGTTTACATGTTGTCCCAAATAGTCTCTGTGAATGTTCGTGACAGATGGGTTTAACCTACCTATTATCATTCCACTCTCCTTCTATAAATGCCAAAAGATGTTATGATCATAAAACAACATCAGCATATTTCCCCATTCCAAGCAATGGAATCAGTTCATTCTGATCCGTTCCGTTGTTTCCCATCACCGTTCAACCGCACCCAATTTGGCAAGTCATGAATAAGAACATAACCAAACCAGAACAGGTTTGTTTGTGTTGTCTCCACAGTGAAACGCTCTGCGACACCATCGTCAATGATACCGGCTGCCTGGACTGTGATCACACACAGTCTTGTAACAGAGGTCTGGTCATTGTTGAACAATGGTTGTTCTCAGGAAATGTGGCTGCGTCAGTGCCACAAGGAGGATCTCGGCCTTGCTGGTTTGATTTCTTGAAGCAGGACGTCTTACTGTCAACTGGACAATGCAGTTGTGGTTTTGTTAACTCTAACCCGAGAAACAATTTGTTATCCCTAAAATCAATATGTGCCCACTGAATCAGAATATGGTTAATTACCAAGTAGTTTTTCACTTTTGGTGGATACAATAAACTTATTAAGAGGAAATAAAGGGTAAAGAAAGATTCCCTCAGTAAGAGAAGAAGACTGTGGTGGGAACTTCACCTGCTGGATCTTCTGGTGGGCCTCAATGCAGTTAAACCAGGCCAACACTGGACCCTTGTCATCAGTTGAGCCTCTTCCGTAGAGCTTACCTGCAAAGAGTAAACAGTGTTTTAATTTAAAGTCTTGGGTCTTTATTTTATTGTAGTTATTATAAGGCTTATGAATTTACGTTGTCTAGGCATAGCTATATATGTAACACAATAAGAAAGACATTATTAATGTATTCTCTTATTCCAAGTTACTTGCTAGTAGTACCAGCAAAGTTAGGGAACCCTTTCACACAATGAACAGCGTGAGGCAAAGTCTAGCAACTAAACAACTGGATAGTAAATCACGACATAAGCAAGAAAGATCAGAGCTGAGCAGACAGGAATGAGACAGGAGGAAGTGGATGTTGAACTTTCTGTCAGCTGACTTTCACCAGAAAGCACACAAGACCTTTTGGGTGTTGGAATTATTAGCACAAAAAAAGAATAAAGGAAAAAGGTTAAAAAAAACAAAAGATCTGACCAGTTCTCATGTCATCAAACATAAACTGAAAATATGTGTGGCCTAATAGTATAGCATGTAGAAGTCCTTCTGTGGTGTTTAACACACAGCAAGTACACCTTCAGAGACAGCATTTGCATCATTGTATCGGCTTTAAAGATGCCAAGTAACAGCTGCCGAGTTGGTGAATAGCGGACGATGATCAAACATCCATCATCTTGTAATACATTTATGAGATCAAATGTTTCACTTGAGCCATTTTGGCTTCTGTAAAGCTGAATGTATTCTTGTTAAACACATCTGCACTTGCCCAACTAGACCTGTGAGGTTTGCAGATAAGACGAGATTAAGAGCATGACGCTACTGGGCCGGACTTTGGTAACATGCAGCAAACTGTGATATGATCAAAAGCGCAACGCTGATAAAAGCTCAAAGAGCATTTAAACAAGACGTTACATTTAAGTAATGACGAGTAAAAAAACGACCTCTCTGCTCTCCAAAGAAAGAGTTTCATGTAATAGTTGTGTGCAGACCTTTTTGATATCTTCTCAGATACTAAATGACCAGTTTCATTTTATTCTGTAGCTCCGTCACAGCTCAGTTAAACTCGGTTTTACTTTAACTGTCCTCTTTGTTTCTGTCTCTGCAGGACAAGTTGCTCATTTATTTCAGTGCAAAGTGACACTATATTGTTGCCACGCTGAAAAAGAAGGTTGTGTAATCATCACATCAAAGATTGGGAAAAAGAAACCTCATGAAGTCAACCTCATCACGTCTCGTCTTAATGCCAAAACAGCATTCCGGTCTACTGCAATAACTTGAAATACAGCCGTTTTGTTTCTCACGGACAAACTTTCCGTGTCATATTGAAACAGAAACAAAACAACTTCTGCTCTCACCGTCTTTCTCCACCAGAGTGAAAGGCTCTGTATCCCAGCCATCATCAATGCTAGCCGGCTGGACATCCAGGTGGCCGTAGATACACACGGTCTTCTTGCCCGGGTCCGACCCCAAACTCCCCAGGATGATAGGAGGCAGAGGGATCTCCTCTCCAGAGGGAAGCTGCACGCACACAAGACAAACAGCATTACATTTTAGTACAGGTTCAAGGAAAACCAATGCATTACTAGTGATGAAGTCCAAACATTAACACACCTTCTGTTTGCCGATGTCCACCATCTCCACCGTTCCCCCCAGCTTCTCGATGTCCTTGGCGGCCATCTCCATCATCTTCTTGATCTCCCCACGCTTCTCTGGCCAAGCAGACACGCTCGGGACTGCGACCCAGTCTGCAAGACGCTGGCGACACCGAGCAAGATTCACATACATGTTAATGCCCGGAGCGAATGTGTCTTTGCACTTTGATCACGTGAAGACAGACATTTGACTGCAAACGTTGACTGTAACAGCAAAAGCTCGTACAACACTTCCCTCAGGATGAGCTTACCTGCACGTACAAATCCTGGTGTTCGTCCACATACTTGAAAAGTGCTTTGAGATGAGCCATCTTGTCCAGCAACAGGAGCTGAGGGTTTACAAGGCAGAGTGGAGTGAGAGTCAACCTTCAGCCCTTTGCTGTCTTATGAGAGGAAGAAGAAAAAACACCACGCCCTGCTGAGCCCTGCACTATTTGTACCCCCTTCTGTCATGCATGCAGAGCCAGAAGAGCACGAATCAGATCAGGAAGTTGAGTTGGTGACAGTTTTGAAAATGTTTGTCACAGCTGCTACTTCATGCATGTTGTAGTTTTTTTATAAACAGAAAAGCAGGCACATAGTAGAAAGTTGCAAAAGGGTCCCATCACAGCAGAAGGGTCACTTCCGTCCCTTTAAGCTCCATGTGTGAACATTTATAACATCACTTTAACGTTAAGACACACGTTTTTAGGTTTAACTTGGGAGAATATGCATGAAAACCTCATAATTACTCAAACGCTAACGGGCTAAATGCTCTGTTCATTTCTGAATCGCACAGAGACGCATTAAGTCCACTCGGTCAGTTATGAGACAGTTATGAGACGTGTGGACATCAGCTGTCCGGTTTATTCCCGGACAGCTGATGTCCACACGTGACTCTTCTCACCTGACAGACACTTCCTGTGTTTCCTAACGACGTGGACACACGGCTGTAACGTTGAAACTTGTTAATGTTTTCTTCCACGCACGAAATAACAAGAGGGCAGAGAGACTTCCTCACATCAGTGGGCATCAGTAGTGGCTATTTGATTTGTTTTCACGGCGCAAAGGATTGTGGGTCAGCGGCAGATGCTGCGTCATGATCGTCCATGAGGACCGGAAACAGTTGAGGTGGGAGAGCGACCCTCTCTGACGAATCTACGTACGTTTACAAATGAGAGCAGCTCAGGTGCAACAGTGGTGGAATTAGTACTACAAGTAAAAAGCGTGTATTTAAAAGCACAATAGTATTAGCATCATAATATACTTTAAGTAGGACCATTTCGTGACAATGTACAGGACATTTTATTATTGGTTTATGATTATTGTACATTAATGTGTACATAACTAAAACATTACTTTATATACACTACTGTTGGTAGCTTGTGAATTTCCCCCTGTGGATCAATAAAGTGTTGATGTATGATTATTACATTTTGTAATATTAATCTGACTGGGAAGTAATAGTCATGAATGTAGTGGAGTAAAACGTGCAATATTAACCTCTGAAATGACCTTTCCTACAGGTTAGTGCAATTCAGAGCAGAGTAATCTCAAAGCCAACTTCACTACAAACTACAGCTAACCCAGAAGAACTAGGAATGGTACTGCTGGTCCAGCTCCTTGGAGGGGAGTCACCATCGTTACCACTGTCCCTGTCTTTTGGAGGGCAATCCGGGTCATAGTATTCACTGGTAGCGGCACCTTCAACTTCAGGAAATTCATTTTCACTATTAAAGTCACTGCTGTCATCTGGAGGAGAGAGTGGTAGTTGTTTCCAACGTCACAGATGACTGCAGTAAAGTATTTGGTAAGGCAAATTGCAATACAGCCTGACCACATAATCAAGTACAACGTGATAATTAAATTGTGAATCATTAGTGAAAGCCAGATTAACAATCAAAGGGCAATGGCAAACAGTAAATAATTGTGTAACAGTAACACAAAGCAAAGCCAGTAAATAAGTTACAAAAAAATTAAAAAACTTAGTTTCAAGTTTATTAACATTACTGGTCACACTAGACAAAGTAAACCTGTAGCACTCTTCAAAAGTTACATATGGTCTAGCTTTGAAAAAGGACATACAGGCCCAGACTTATTAACCTGGTGGGACCGCTTTCTTCGTACAGAAACAAGGATTTATGTCAATGAAGACATTGCAACAACCTACTGACGGTGAACACACTTTCATTCATTATTTGAGAGCCATTGGTTTTGTTGAGTTTCGTCGATCAGCTGCCATCCTGAGAAGTTACAGCTCTTTTAAAATGAATTAATGGACCACATCAATTATGTGAATAAAAACCTGGCCGCACGAAATACAAATTAGGCTTAAATATATGTGCACATACGTTTTCTAACACTTGTAACATAGGCCAATTCTGACTTTTACTTGGAATATGAATAATATATATATATATATATATATATATATAAAACATATTTACTTGGTCCAGACATGTTTTTATCAGTTAAACAAAACATTAAAATACATTAAATGCAAAGCACCTACTCTCCATCTCCAAAAGTAGACAACACATTTTTTATGCTTCATACAGATATGGAGTATTTCTTCGCTGTTGTATTGCATTACATTTCAGTTGTACCTAATAAACCTGGTAACTCAGTATAAATCTATATGTATATGTACTGTGTATATATACATATATTTGTACCAATTGTCTTGTTTTTATGTATACTGTATGATCTTATATATGATCTCATTAACAGAATGTTAAATTATTCCCACCGACTGTGGCTCAGTTTTATATCAAAGCAAAATGAGTAAACTTGTGTTTTTATATATTTTTTTTCCACATAATGTATTTCACAGAGCATTACTGGATTTTTCTGTCAGTTTGAAATATTTTCCATAATGGCCAATTTAAAATAATTACAAGCATAATCAAAGAAAAATAAATATCTTCGTGTGGCAAAAGACTTTATTGCATATATTTCAAGAACACAAACACCCCATGTATTCTGCTACTGCACCACAGGTCGAATGAACAGACTCAAAAGTCTTAATCGTTAAAAACAATAGATTCTCTTTCTTTAAGTCATATTCTCTGGAGCAAATAAAAACAAACAAACAAATCAAAAGGCCTGGATGTTCAGTCAGAGAAAGAGAAAATCATTTGTAGGCATTGGCTTTATGTTTGGGCAAGAAGTTGAAACTCGTTGGTACCGGTCCAAGTAGCATTTCACTGGAGAGGGGAAAAGTAAGATATTATAATCAGTAAATACATCAATTTAGCAGTTATTCTTAGTGTAGCTTGATGGTTTAAAAATGGTTTCCTGCTTACCTAATCCTGACCCAGTCCCCAGCATGTTGACTGGCCATTAGTGACTCCAGGTAGTTCCTGCCCAGGTAGAACGGAGGTCTCTCGTTGATCTTCTGAGGCACCCGTTCCAACAGGCCTACTGGAATATATCTGAGAGACAGAGATAGTACGATAATAATAAGTGTGTTTCTGGATCAAATGGCAAGTCATGAATATTTCTTGTTATTAGCAGAAGAAATATACTGCAAGTGCGTGTTGTTGCCCACCTGCACATGAAGGAGAGCCACTCCAGCATGAAGGTGCGGGTCTTCTCCACACCTCGAGTGTCGGAGCCCCAGTGCTCCAGACCGAAGTTGCTGAAATCCCGGAGGACGTCCAGTCGCTCACTGGACGAGATGTCCCAGTGTCTGCGCTCCTTTATTTCAGTGAAGATCCAGGGCTTAATGAGAGCACCTCTGAAGAGACAAAAAAATCAAGTTCAAGTTCACCACAAAGATAACTGGGCTCCGTTAAATGGAGTAGTTCCTCTGGTCGGGATTCTTTGTGTGATTACTGTGCTTTGACTTGTCTGTACTGTGTGTATTCACTAAAGTGGCACCAACCTTGCAATCATAATGCCAGAAACTCCAGTCTCTCTTGCTTTCATGGCATCTTCATAGGACAGTATGTCTCCATTACCTGGGACAATAAACATAGGTCAACTCAGTTCACCTCATCACCAACAAATGATGACTCTTCCACAGCTTGTGCATGATAAATATACAGTTCTCTACACCTCAGAGGGGGTGTTGTTATTGTGATAGTATTGAACTGTACGCAGCTAAAATCTTAGGTAAACGAAATTCACAGACCAAACAGAGGGACAGGACTAGCCAGCTTGGAGCAGGTGTTGATGTAGTCCCAGTCAGCCGACTTAGTGTAGCGCTGCTCTTTGGATCGGCCATGCAACTGTAAGACAACTACAGCATCAGTGGTGTTTCATCACACTTTGAAACGGACTCGTATTCATTTGCAGATACAAAAATGACAAAAGGAGGAAAAACTATTATGCACGACTGACAACAAATAAAAAAACAAGGGGCTGGAAATGACAAGGACACACATTTAATAAGAGTCAAAGAAAATGCAAAATGGGAACACAAAGTTAGACAAATAAAGAGTCATATCTGGTGCTCAAACAATGCATTCTGGAGAGGTGTCCACCCCACATGGTCTTAAAAAGACACTACTGGAAATGAGACTCAGTTTGACTTCCATAGTTATCATGTATTTCTTGACTCATGCCGCGACTGTATTAAATATGATTTTCACCGCATGGTGTGGGTCAATACCTTTTTACACCCATGCCTCTTCTTTTACAGTTGCAACACTTTTTCCCTTTTATTTATGCTGCTTTTAGACAAGACTGACCGTGATCATAGAGACATCCCACTTCTTCATCTCCGGGATGAGTTTGTGTGCTATGTTGCACTTCTCCTGAACACCAGTGCGGATCTTGACTGTTAAAGGGACGTCAAGGACCTTCAGGAGGAAAGAAAACACATTCTCATTCACCCTTACACTTTGTGGAAAACATTTTCCTGGATGGATTATTAAAAGCTAGTTTAACACTTGCATACTATACATATTAAATGACAGTATTTTCTGCTGAAAGCCAAAATTCACCAAGATATCAAATTCAGACACGTACATAGTTCATTCCCTTGATTATCTGTTCAAACTTCCTGGTGCGTGTCATCAAGCCGCAGCCTCCGCCCTGATGAGGGAAAGTAAACAAACACCACCTGTTAGTCAGTGACATGTTAATGTTTAATATTGCTTTATACACTCAATCATCACACACAAAAGTTTGTCTGACTGTAAAGCTCTCACTCATCACAGCGCCATTTAATTCCCCCCACATGGCCTCCCGTATTTACCAGCATGCTGATCTTTACTTTTTTGTTTATTGACCTCAACCACTGTAGAAAAACATGGTTTTACCATCTGTGATGTTTACCTTCTTGTAGACGAGGTCAATGGGGCATCCGGAGTTGATGTCCACAAAGTCGACATCAATGTTACCGTTGATGAGCTCTGCACACCTCGTCATGGTGTCGGGGAAGCAGCCCTCCACCTGGAGACACAATCAGGACTTCAGTACTGAGCCCGTCTTTACTCTCACGCAAGTCCACAAGCCGCGTTTAAGACAACGTGATAAAAGCAATTCAACAGCTCTGAGGAGTCTCAACAATCTATGACGACATCACCTGGACGCCAAAAACATCTTCGCTTTCGTGGCGCTTCAGGAGGGCCCACTCTGACTGCTGCCCCTGCAGCAGGTTGGTGCACATGGCCATCTCCCCGCAGGTGATGTCTGCTCCGAAGCGCTTGCACACGCGACGGAAAGGCAGATTTCCACACTGAGGAAAGAGAAGGAATTTATTTAGTCAGGTCAAAAGCTTATCTGTTTGGTGTGTTACTGGTTCTATAGAGTGACATTTTAACAGCAAATTTGATTTGTCGGGCAGCATTTAACTACATCAAACCTCAGTGCTGGATTCAGTCTGGCTGTACTTACAGTTGTTAGAGGAGCAAGGTAGAGCTTGTCTTGAAAGTCCACCTTGAACACAGAGAAATATGATGTTCCTTGGGTTATTTTAAATAATTTTGAAGGAGAGATGGTTGCCTATATATACTGTGTATATATATATATATATATATATATACCTGTTTCCTCTCACACATCCGCAACTTGATGACATCTACATCAGTGAGAGGCCCAACCGTCTTCACTGGAGGCTGTTTATCTGGACCGGCCTGTAGCTGGTCACAGAGCAAACACGTAAAAAAAAAAAACATACTTCTAAAATGCCATGCAACACACACATACCCCATGTAAGAGGTAGTAGTGGTAGAGTAGAAATGTGTACCTGGGCTTCAGCCTCAGTAGACGCCTGCTGCTCCCCTCCTGTTGGATCTGCAGATAACTCAGCTGCACGAGTGTCACCTAAGTGTGTCAGAAAACTGAATTATCAACCGCTCTACTCAGGGGACAAAGAACAGCATGCATGTTGCCCAAATAAAATGAGGTGGGCTGATTAAATGAAAGCTCCAATGAGTGCCACAGAGACCCACTTCAGAGACACTTCCTTTTCACTGCTGATTACAGCAGTTCTGTGTCGGTATCATTTCAAACCACTCATAGAACAAGAACGGCCGACGGCTTCATTCTTAGCAGAAACACTGGCAGAATATTAATATTCCTGAAGGACATTTGCACTGCCAACAGATCACGTATAAGTGTGTATTACGTCTTACCGTTCCCTTGCTGTTCTCTTTTCTCTTTGTTGTCCGAAAGTATTTTCAGGTACTCTTCTGACTTCTCAAAGGTCACAGAGCGCTTCCTCAGGCGAATCTGCAGGTCTTTACTGAGGCTGTTCTTCACCGGCGTCCGGCCCTCATTGGCCTTAATTAGTTCGGCGTTCACCATGGTTTTGAAGTCAGGTGTAGTGTGCACCTTGGCGTAGCGGCAGGAGAAACCATAACCACACTTTCCGAACGTGTCATAGAGGTAGCAGCTCTCCCCGATGTCAGCGGGCTTGGTTGCCAAGTATTCGGCTACGTCGTGGTAAAAGCGGCATTTGTCTCCAAAGGGACATTCCCTGTTGTCCTGCATGGATGGGAAAAGTCATGACAATGACTGTCAGCTGACATAGCGACTGAAGAGCACTTTGTGAATGGTCGGCTAGAGTTTCATACCTGAACGACTGAGGGACACAGACGTTTTTCATCATAGGCGGTGGGCTTTGTGTGTGGCCTTGACTTATTCTGTCCCCGAATGCGTTTACCGTCTGGTTTGCCGCTCTTATTCCCCTCCTCGGGGTCTAGTTTGAGCTTTTTTGTGTCAGGTTCCTCAACAGAGGTTGCCTTCGTCTCCTCTACTTTGTCACCATCACTGGCCTTTTCCCCCTTTGGGCCCCGCCACTCAGAGTCTACAAAACCATGAAATTTCTCTTTGGTGGTCAGGAATCTGCAAATACAAGAAGAAAAAAAAGAAATGTAATGACCCGTCAGTTTGAAGATGTAACAACGTGACATACAACACGGGAACTTTAAGTGCGAGCGGAACGACCATTGTGTGGAATAACGCAACATCACACTGTGTAATGTCTATGTAATTTGACACAGCGCCTTAGTTTGGCAAAGCTGTTTCTATTCTATACCAATGAGATGTGAGACTGGAGACAGTTAAGGCCACCTTGATTATCATAATAGAGAAGAATATTTTGTGACATTTGCTTCCCGCTCTATTACCACATAATGGTACAATTATAAGAATGGCTATTGATGTGGACCAGCCAATCCTTAGAGTGATACATAAGAACATACTCTGTGCAAGAAGTCGAGCACATTCACTACAGCTGCTAAGCCCTTTTGTGTAGTTCTGTTGGCTCCATCAGACAGAGCAGCGTGCAGTGTGCAATCTATGACTCCATGCTACTCTGCAGGGAAAAAGTGGATCAGTCTAATCAGGGTTGGAACCAGTTTCTACCCCAAGTGTAGGGCATCTCTAGGTATACCAACGAGGACAAGATGGAGCACGAGAACGGGAGGCAGGCTGGAGTGATGTAATCTTTGATACAAGCGTTATAACGGACTGAGGGTGAAGAGGGAGCTGACGGGCAAGACGTGATGCAGAACAGGGACATCGTGACGTTCAGAGTTTTGGCAGCTGTGTGGATGATGTCACATCAGCTGTCTGAATCGAGACTCTTGCACCAAACATACACTTTGGACAACAACTGAGATTGTGTGCAGTGATCTCCACCATGTATTAAATAGCTAGTTACTTACTGTGGCTTGATCGCAGCTTCACCCTTCACAGCTACACTTGTCCTCTTTTCAACCGTTTCCTCTGCTGCTCTTTCCATCACACCTTCACAGGCTTTCTCCAAATCCTTTTCCCTGTAAAATGTCGGTACATCAGATTATCACTTTGAATCTAACTAACTAGCGCATCGCTTAACCGAAGAGCTATTGATCTCCTTCCTGGTCGAGGGACACGAGTAACGTTATGTCAGAAATACTCTGTACTGCATATTTCATTCATAAGAGTTGACTCAACGTCAGTTGAAGCCATTCTATTCAACTCCCTGGTTGCCTGTCTGGTTAAATTTAACTAAAATCAGTGAAGTTACTTACATTTTATTATCCAAGTTGCCAAGATAAACAGCTAACGCTCTCTGTTACTGTAGCATGCTTTGCTGGAACCTAACCCTGCTAGCAAGCTAACCGCTAACTTAAAGGCTGCTGAAGCAAACAGTCAACTAACCACTTGCTTGATAATGCATTTGACGTTAATTTATAAAACAAGTCAAAAGTAAATATCAAACAATTACAGTAAACGTGGATTACACTTCTGTCTCACACCCCAACATGCAGCAACAATATACAACTGCATGGGGAGGCAGTTGTGCTGCATTTTGGTAAAGTCCGTGGTGTACTGTGCGGACGTCTGACGAACATTAGTTCCGCGTAACACAGCTCGTAATCTTCAGAGTAACTAATGAAGTCTACTGGTAGTCCAGGGATAAAATGTAATCAGATTACATTTAATTGAATATACATTACATGTTTCAGTTTATAAATTATACTATATATATTACTAAATTACTATTACAAAATAGAACTACAATAATAATTGAAACATTTAGTCAGATGCCTTTTTTGGATATCACTTTTATTTTAAGATTGCATCCTCATGAATTCGAACATGTAATTTATACATCTTTGACCAAGTAAAAAAATAATTCACATGCAAATCAATTTTTGTCTACAAAGCTATTAAAGATGCAGAACATTATGCAGAAACTGATAGTTGATCCATTGTTTTAGTTCACTGCCTTCTGTGATAGTAAATTAAATATTTTTGTGGTTTTGGATGATTGGTTGGAAAAAGAAGAAATTTGAAATGTGACCTTGGGAGTATAGGAAATTGTGAATTTATTTTAGAGACCTTATTAATCAAGAAAAATATTTGGCAGATTCATCCATAATTAAATGATTGTCGTTGTAGTCCTAACAGATTTATTGAAACATTACAAAAGAGACATCCGCAAAGTCGGAAATCATATTCTAATTACTACATGAAGGAAAAAATGACTGCCGTGAAGCAAAGCTCAGGTAAACGCAGTATCCACCATTATGTAACATCATAATACAGTTTCATTCAGTTTCTGGTGAGGCACTGAGTCTTTCTATCTTTGCATCAAACCGCTTCCGGCTGGAGTCCAGGATGTTGATGCCATTCTTGTGGAAGTCGTAGCCCACTCTCTGCAGCTCCCCGAGTCGCCCTGTAATGTTCTCGGTGCTGTAGTCTAACACTTTGGGCTTTTCCAGTATTTGCTTCATTGTTATTCCTCCTCTAAGGAGACAGTCTAGTTTAGAGCTCAGCGTGTCTGTCCCAATGTACAGAACCATTGGATAGCTGAGGATTAGTTTCTTTATGTCAGCTTTCTGACAGCCAAGTGAAACCATCCTCTCCTGGAGACTGTTGAAATTCTTTTTCAAATATTCGTTAGAAAGATCCAGTATTTCTGCCCCGGGGCCTTGAAGCAGAGCAAGCATTTCTGAATCGCTCAACTTCAGAGAAGCTCTCAGGATATCGATGTTCGTCTTGACTCTCTTCGTGCTTCGGATAAGAATGTAAAGGTTTCTGGATATGATGGATTTGGGAAACTGCTCCGGATTCGTCCCACCGAGTTCGGCGCAGATGTCTTCCAGAAACTCCACCATCTGCCTGTTGAGCTCTAAACTGTTGGAGAATGTCCGCGGCGCCGTGCTCAGCAGCCGATGGAGGTCTTTGGTGTTCAATCCCAGCGAGATCAGAAAAGCTATGTTCTTCTCCAAGTTCCCGTTATCACTGGACCGGAAGAAGGACTCTGGTGAGCGATCCAGGATGCTCACAATTTCTCCATCGGTCTTGAAGATGTCTCTCCACAGCGCCCAGCGCTGTTCCAGGTGTTCAATTGAGCGGGTGATGGCGCGGGGGTAACGGGATATGATGCTGGCGATTACTCTGCGGCTGGCGCCTTTACCTTGCAGGAACTTCGCGAGCCCTTGCTCATTAGTGAAAGCTTTACGAAGCACCCCAGGCTGACGCTGGCGTGCCATCTTCACGTCAACTCCCATGAGATTCAGATTCTCCAGCAGAGATACATTCTCTGTGTTCACCAGCGGCTTTGGCTCACTGCTTTTTGCAGGGGCGCTGCAAAGGCCCCTGGGAAGGAAGGTTGACGTCGACTGAGCCGGAATGTGTCCAAAGCTGCGCTGCAACGTCACTGATCGATGAAAGCTGAGGAGAGCTCTCACTCCAGCTACTGCTGCCATTTTTAATGAGGAGGGCCAGTTTCAGTGGACCTGAAGAAAAAAATAAACATTTATCTGATTAATATATATATATATATATATATATATATATATATATATATATATATGTTTATGTAAACTCTGAATCTGGAAGGTTACTTATGACAACAGCTGTCAGATAAATATAGAGTAAAAAGTGTACAAAAAAAGGAGCATACATTTAAATTAGTCTGTTAAAGTACCTCAAAATTGTACTTAATTTTAACGTAAGTTCTTGACACCACCGCAGTGTTGATATATGTTTACAAGCTAATATTTAAGTGATAAACAGTACGACTGACTGAATGAAGTCTGTCGGTAGGTCGCAGACAAATTCATCGTTACTTTAACGTTAAATATTCAACTGTTGAGACATTATTCGCCCTTAAATGACTCAATAGAAAGTCCAGGTCAGCTCGTAACTGTAACGTTACAGTTATTTATAAATGTATCAATGTCTCAATCCATAGCCATTTTGTAGAAACTATATAAAAACACATACCATATACTTTTGGTTTCTTTTTGCCCCACACATTCTGGTGGTGAGGTGTTAGGCATTTCTCACCGTAAACGTATGAAAGCGGAAACGTGAACGTCTTCTCGCGAGATTTTGTCGTCCGAGAATAAAATAATCCAAACTACTATTGTTTAATTACCGCCATCTAGCGGGTTGGAGTTTAAAAGCACTCTCTGCTCATTTTTAACCTATATACAGTCTATGGTTTTAGCTAAAATAGAAGCAAATTACTTTAAATTAACTTTTACACAGTTCTACCTGTCATAGGATACACTCAATAGTAGGTTATTATTATTATTATTATTATTATTATTATTATTATTATTATTATT